AAAAAAAAAAAAAAAAAAAAAAAAACAGGATTTTGCATTAATTTTGAGCCAAAACGGACTCGAACTACTGTCATAAGACAAATGTGAGGGGGTGAATTCTCCGTTACGGACTCCGTAATAAAAGTAAACATTTTTCTTGTGACTTTGGCCAAATGACTAATCTACCCCTAAGCCGTTACCACAAGCAAACTGACAAAATTCCCATAAATACATATATATATATATTTTTAATTGTTTTTGTCTGAAAGGGTAAAATGGTAATTAAGGGATGGAGGAGTGAGAAAGAAGAAACTTGTCTTGAAATCTGAATGTAAAATTAAAAAATAAATAAGTCAAAACTCTTTCCATTTATTTATCATTTTTCTATAAACTAAATGGTCTTTTGAAAATTTAAATTTAAATTTTTTATTTTATAATTTGAACACAAATTTGTTTCTTTTTTTAATCAAACAATTGTATACTTATGGAAGAATTTAAGGATAATAGAAATGCCTAAATATATATATACTCGGACGCTTCTCCATACTACAATTTGAACGCCAAGAGTGCCCAACTCTTAAGTTGGGCTCTTCCCGGTTCTCTCGCCGTTACTATGAAAACCCTTGTAAGTGGTTATCTTAGGTTGAATTACTATTGCAACACTGACGTCAGTAGGGTAAAACTAGTAAGATGTGGTTCGAGAGAACGAATTAAGAGGAAGTTGGAGGGCATGTGGCTCTCGTGTAGAGATCCTGTCTAAATGAAAACCAGAATTAAAAAATTACGATAATGGAAGTTGACCTAATCAAGTATGGAGTAAATAAAATTAGGTAATTTAACTTTATTTTAAATCCAGAAAAAAACAAAAAAAAATAATAATAATTCAGATGGAAGGTAATACATGAACAGATTCCAAGTAACTTACCTTTTACATATACTTTATTAATATTTAATTATTTTAAATAAATAATTTTTTTAGTATAATTTTAATTTTATATTTTCCACTTGCTGTAATAAAAATAGTAATAAGTCATATTCTCATACATGTAATTAGGCATTTTTATTTTCGATATAATTTCCATTTAATCTTTATAATTAATTTTAATTAATTTCTAAACCATTATAAAAATACTTTTAAGTGGACCACTTAAAAATATATTTTTTCAAAGTTAGTTACAAAAGTGTTCGGTTTAAAAATATTTATATTTGACGTCATCTGAACCTCGTTTAAAAAAGTCTCGATTTAGTATCTTACTATATTCATTATTAAGACTAAAATGGAAAAAAAAGACTTCACGAACCGAACTAAACCCTCTCGAGAATATCTTAATTAGGCCATTTAAAGTACTTAGTGAAGAAAATGAGGTACGGTTGGGGTATGGGTTGGATTAAGTAAGTTCAGGTTTCAAACTCGAGCGGAGACTTCACGAACCAAACGCTCTCGAGAAGATCATAATCAGGTCATTTAAAGTGTTAGGTAAAAAAAAAAAGAGTTACGATCAATATTTTTCGTCAAATCTAAGAGGTGGTCGGGATGTAGGTTGGATTAAGTAAATTCAAGTTTCAAACTTAGGCGGAGGCTTCACAAACCAAGCCGGCTCGAGAAGATTAAGTTCGGGTTTCAAATTTGGGCGGTTGTTTAAAGGAGAAGCTTTAAATTCGATATCTGAGGGGGGATCGAACCCGAGTTTAAGATGTCAAAGTTGCACCGAAAGAGACTAAAAAGAGAAGGGAATTTTAACCCTTGGAATTGAAAGGGATAAAAGAAAAGGAATTTGAAAGCTAGAGAGAGAAAGGCTGAGCTGAGCTGAGTTTGGGCGATTCGAACCGCGGCTTTAAATTCACCACCTCCAATACAAATCCCCATTTGTCAGTCCCACTCTCACTTTCTTCGCCATTTTAAGTCTTCTTCTCCGCACGCCTTTACACCTCCATTCCGCCATGGACGCCCATTCCTCTTCCTTTTCAAGCTTTTCCGCCTACCTACGAGCCCTCTCTCTGATCCCTTCCCGTCTTTCACGCCGGGCCTTCTCTGTCTCCACCTCCTTCGACGAAATGACCAGTACACGGTACACTTCCGGTGTCCACATGCAGAGGACTCTCCGCTGGTTTGACCTCGTCGGGTTTGGCCTTGGCGGGATGATCGGTGCTGGTGTCTTCGTCACTACGGGTCCGGCTACTCAGGAAGCCGGTCCCGCCATTGTTCTCTCTTACGCCATTGCTGGCCTCTGTGCGCTCTTATCGGCTTTCTGCTACACCGAGTTTGCTGTTGATATGCCTGTTGCCGGTGGTGCTTTCAGTTACCTCCGCGTCACATTCGGTGTGTTTTTTTTCTTTATTCTCTCTCTCAATTTCCCAATGCATACAGTCAATTCGTTGGTTTTCGTGATTCTTCTAACTCGGCGGATATTTTTGTTTTTTGTGCGCAGGGGAATTCGCTGCGTTTTTGACCGGTGCGAATCTGATAATGGACTATGTGATGTCCAACGCCGCCGTCGCGAGGAGTTTCACTCAATACCTAGGCGCCGCAATCGGTATCTCCTCCGCCAAATGGAAACTCCTCATTCCTGGACTCCCCAAGGGATTCGATCAAATCGATTTGGTCGCCGTCGCCGTTGTTCTAATCATCACAATCATCATCTGCTACAGGTCTGTGAGAAATCGAGAATCATGAATCGTGATTGAATTCGTTCTGAAATTAAATAGGGCTAGTTTTGTTTGTGGATGTTCTGTTTTCCAGTACAAAACAGAGCTCGGTGTTGAACATGACGCTGACGGCAATACACATTCTATTCATAGCTTTCGTGATTGTATTCGGATTCTGTAAAGGCGATTGGAAGAACTTCTCAGAACCAGGCGATCCGAAGGACGAATCCGGATTCTTCCCTCACGGAGCGGCTGGCGTTTTTAAGGGCGCATCTCTGGTTTACCTCAGCTACATCGGCTACGACGCCGTATCGACGATGGCGGAGGAGGTTCGGAATCCGGCGAAGGATATCCCAATCGGCGTCTCCGGCTCCGTCGTGCTCGTCACCGTCCTCTACTGCCTAATGGCGGCTTCAATGATCAAGCTCCTTCCCTACGATATGGTACAGTAAAACACACACATACACACACAAATTCGTACGGTCTGATGATTTGCAGTCAAAAGGAAACCGGTGTTGAATACATTGAATGAAATTTGTTTGTGTATGTGGTGGCTACAGATTCAGGCGGAGGCGCCGTTCGCGGCGGCGTTTGCGAGGTGGAAGTGGGTGTCGAACGTGATCGGCGGTGGAGCAAGCTTCGGCATATTGACGTCCCTGTTGGTGGCTATGATGGGACAGGCTCGATACATGTGCGTCATCGGACGGTCCAGAGTGGTCCCCGCCTGGTTCGCCGAGGTCCATCCCAGAACCTCCACTCCTCTCAACGCCTCCGCCTTTCTTGGTAATTTATTTTATTCCCTTATTTATTTATTTTTTCTTAACAATAAATGGGATAGAATTCTAACCCAACTCAGTTAAACAATTAACCCATTAAACGAGAGTATATGACTAAACCAATCGAGCCATGCTCTAATCAACGAGCTTATTAATTATCAGTATCAAATGATGCAAGATGCTCCAACTGCGATGTATATGTCATTAATTTCGATTGTTACATGCTGAACTATTGTTGAGCTAAGCTCGTAACAAATTTGGAGCTAAAATTTTATATATATGTTAATGTAAATTAATGTTTTAAGTTGAACAACTGTTGTTGAGGTGTTCTTTTGTTCGTATGTGTTCTTAACTCATCCGTTACATAGCTTTTTAATTAATGCAAAGAAATACTCTTAATAAGAGTTTGGGAAATGAATGTTGAAGGGGGCCTTGAGAATCTGCTGTTCCAAATGGGAGTGTTTGGATAGGGGGAAAAGAAATCTTTTGGGGCCATGGTTTTGGTGGAAGGAGAAGAAGACCCTTTTTCTGGCTCCCCTTTTATTTCCTCCTTGAAAAAAGTTTATTTGATTTATTATGATAATAATTTGAAAAGAAAAAGAGTGGGACCCCTCTAGTTATAGCATGACATCATTGGCAAAACCCCAAGATAGAGAAAGGAGGAAGTAGTATTAGTTTGTGATTCATAATGGTTTAGGGAATAAGATATTGTTAAGACGGTGGAGAGAGCTTAAGCTTTTATGGGATAGGAACACTTTTGTCTTGGCTTCACCCTCATTTTCTGTGTTTTCAAGAGAAAAGCAAAGGAATTTATATATAACACTTGGGGGTCCTGTTGTTTCAACCCCATAGAAAATGAAAGAAAGAGATTTCTTCAACTGTTTTTCTTGCACTTTTCTTGTGTTTGGTTCCAAAAGGAAGAAAAAAGAATAACTATGTGGGTCCCTATCCTCACTTTCTTGCCTACATCTCTTAACTAGTGTTTAACTTTCTTAATCCCTTCCACTTTTAACCATGGTTTACTTCCTGGGGATGTCCCTACGTTGTGTTGTGTTGAGTTGGGTCGAGTGCGTGTCAATATGTGACATCCTGTATCAATTGGAGAGAGGAACGAGTGCTAGCTAGGACGTTGGACCTTGAAGGGGGTGGGGGGGATTGTGAGATCCCACATCTATTGGAGATGAGAACGAGTGTCGGTGAGGATGCTTGAGCCTCAAAGGAGGGTGGATTGTGAGATCCCACATCGATTGGGGAGGGGAATGAAACATTGTTTATAAGGGTGTGGAAACTTCTCCCTAGCATATATGTTTTAAAAACCTTGAGGGAAAGCCTAAAGAGGACAAGTGGACTTAGGCCGTTGTATAGTTTGTTTCTGTTTGATTTATGCTGTGCTTAACACAGGATGAGCGTTTCACATGTCTTGTTCTTGTGTTTTGTTTGTGTTCTATCATATAGCTTGATCAACTGATGTAAATGGTAAGAGATGGTTGGTGTAGATTGGCCCAACTCAACTACAAGATAAATCTCTTAGGTTTGAGTCAGTTTTGAAAATGACCTATAAGCAATACCATATTTTGAAAGAATCATTTCCTTCTATTAGTTTCTGAGATCACTTTATCTCTTTGCAATTATTGGGTCTCTGTAAAATTGTTGTTTGTTTTGTATTGTTTTACTTAAAAAATTGTTGGTTTGATTCAGGGGTCTTCACGGCTGCAATCGCCCTTTTTGCTGACCTCGACGTTCTACTCAACTTCGTATGCATTGGTACACTCTTTGTCTTCTACATGGTTGCCAACGCTGTCATTTACCGACGATACGTCGTGATAGGAAGCACAAATCCACGGCCAACACTATCCTTCCTCTGCTCATTCTCACTCACTGCCATCATATTCACTCTCATATGGCACTTCGTAACACCAGGGAAGGCCAAAACCACCTTACTCAGCGTCACTGCTATCATCGCCATCGCTATCTCACTCATCTTCCATTGTGTCACACCTCAAGCATGGAAGCCCCAACACTGGGGCGTTCCCTTGATGCCATGGATACCCTGTGCATCAATCTTCCTAAACATATTCTTGCTGGGGTCCCTCGATGGTACATCCTACATACGATTCGTGTTCTTTTCAATCCTCACCATGCTCATATACGTGCTATACAGTGTCCATTCAAGCTCCGATGCAGAAGAAGACGGCTCCCTACGCGTAAAGAACGCGGAGATTCCGGAATTAGAAAACAGCTTCAAGGTATAGAAAATGTAGATGGATTTAAGTTTATGTGGGCATTGTTTCTTTTTGTTTACACAAATTGAAACCAAGTTGTATGAAAGGTAAAAAGGAAAAGAATGAGGAAGTTTTGCAAAAGTGGAAATCAAAGCTGTAAATATAAAGCTTGGATTGTTTGTGGAGTCCCATTTGATGAATTGAGTAAGAAAAAAGAAGCAGAAACCAAACAAAGTGGGTGGGGGGAGGGATTTTGTTTATACAATTGAGTATCCATCCACAGGCTTCACGTTGGTTGGGGACTTTTCACAAACACTAAGAAGGGTATGCCTATTTTTATGTAAAGGGAAGAAAGTGGACCCATTTCTTGCATTCTTTTATACTTTGCCTCTCATTTCCTTCTATTCTAATCTTTTCTTTCTCTTTTTGGTTAAATTATCATTTTTTTTTTAGCAAATATAACTTCAAAATTCATAGTCTTTTTTATTTGGCCTATGATTTGGTCTAACATTATAAAAATGATCGTGTGTGAATATCGTTGAATTGTATTTGATTATATTGGATTTGAGGTAGGTGGGATGTAACCGTCCAAGCCCGTCGCCAGCAGGGTTTTCCCTTTTGGGTTTCCTCTCAAGATTTTAAAATGCGTATGCTAAGGAGAGTTTTCCACACCGACATGAGATCTTACAATTCACCCCTTTTGGGGCCAGCGTCCTCGCGGTACACCGCTCAGTGTCCACCCTCATTTGAGACCCAGTGTCATCGTTAGCACATCACCCAGTAGTGTTTGGCTTTAATACCATTTGTAACAGCTCAAACCCACCGCTACCAGATATTATTCTCTTTAAACTTTTCCTTCTAGGTTTCTCCTCAAAAGATGTTTCCACACCCTTATAAGAAATGCTTCATTTCACTCTCCAACCAATATCATATCTCACATCTTCACTCTTAAAAGTGTTACGGTCATGTCATAGGAGATGCATGAGAATACTGTTATTTCGTTAAAAACAGTTAAGTCGTGTACAAACTAGTCCGAACACCTACCGATATTTCTGATAACAACGTATACAATTTGAAACGAGGATAACTAAGGTCAAATTAAAAAATCGACACTAATACCAAAAAGAAAAAAAAAAAAACACAAAAGAAAACAAAGCATAATGGGACCATGATGTTGGTATCTTGTTTGGTTCCATATCCCATTTTAATCCTTTTTGTCTCTTGTCCTATTCAATATAATTTGCCTCCATTCCATTTCTTTCTTTTATGCATCTAATCAAACCTTTCCCTTTCCCTTACCCACTCAAAAATTTCTCTTTATTATTCTCATCCTCCTCTCTTATCCCTTCCCAAACATAATTGGTCAAAATACCCTCAAAATCTTTCAATTTTAGCTTATAATCCACAAAATTCTTATTATATTCCCCGACCTCGACCTCGATCTCAAGCTCAGTTCTAAGATTCCATGTCTATTCTACATCTTTTAAAATAATATTACAACCCCGTGTCCTATTTCCTTCAAAGACAGATTCGAAGAACGAGAAAAAAAAATATTATAATCGAATACCCAATTGTTCGGGTTTTTATATCATGATTCTTTAGTATAAAGTTTCGATATATTTTTTTTCTCGCTTTATTCCATTATAAGAATTTCTTGGATTTTGTTCTAATTGAATCTTTTTTGACTTTTTAAATAACTTTAGGTTAAGAAATTAATTTGAAGAAATTAATACTAATTTGAGGCTAATTAAATTCCAAACAACATCAAGTGGACTTCCACTCATGCCACGCCACCATTGGATTCCAAGTTATAGAATTAAATAAATAATAATTATCACTCAAATTATTTACATCATATCATTTCCTTTAATCATGAACGCTCGGGTAAGTTTTCGTTATGTCTCGACATTAAAAATTTTAATTTTTACCTTTAATTTTTTTAAAATAATTACTAAAATAATGTGGAAATTGACACGATGACTAACGTGATATACAAATTATTTACTGTACGACACTTCGAGTTAATTAATGAGTAAAAATTTATTTTTTTTAGTTATGAATAATATTCCAAATTTAAGAGTAAAAAAAAAAAAAAAAAACTTTTAATACCACCACTTAAAAAATATTATTGGGTAATTATTTGCAACATCATTCACGTAAATTTGACACCGTCATAATATTATTTTTGGGTAATTGAAAGTTTAAACGTATTTTTTCAAATAAATTTTAAAATTCACGAGAAATTTAGAGGCACAATCGAGCTTCGGATATATATTTTTTTATCTAATTTTAAAATTTTAACCATAAAAGGTTAATATTTTTAAAAAAATTAATAAAAAATTCACTAATTGTCTTTTCATTATGTGCTAATGACACCAAAATTAGTAACGTGTAAAAGACTAATTAGTCCTTTCTTTTCCTTTTAATTTAGTCTTTTCTAAGTACCTTTTATCGTCATTTTGTCTCTTGATTAAGAGATAAATAAGATTAGATTTGTGATTAATATTATTATTATTATTATTATTATTTTGTGCATAAAAATAAAATATTTAAAAAAGTAAAGTAAAAAAGAGATACCATTTCTATTGCTTTCACTTTGTTTTTAGTGATTTAGGGAAGAAAAGGCTACCAATAACCTTTCCTTTTAGCACGCCTTTTCCCGCTTTTATTAGCTTCACCTATCGTATGATGTTACATTATCGTTATCCAATGAATTGACATTCCGAAATTTATAATTATTAATATAATATTTTCAACCGTTAATGTACCTTAAATTAGGTTAATTTCTCAAATCTTGTCGTTATTATTTTATTAGGTAAAAGTTATGATTTTGACGTTAAAAAAGTAATGCAAGGAAATTCAAAATAATTGAAGTTATTGGTATTTTTATACGAGAGAAATCTAGGTTTGATTATTGGGTTGGGTTGGGTTGAGACATTTATTAAACCAAACCTAATTACTAAAACCGTAAATTTTTTCAAACCTAACCCATGATCCAAATTTGGTTTACTTAAACTTAATGAACCCAAATGAGATGATGGTCTAACTCAAACGGTCTGAGTTAGGTTGCATGGTTCAGGTTTTTTAGATCATTGAGGCTTTTAAACACTATATGTGGCCCGACTCTTTTCTTAATGGATCAAAGTGGGATGTCAAGGTCAATTTTTTTTTTTTTTTTTTTTTACTACTTTTTCTCAATTCTCAAACCCCATATGACTTTGATTTCTTAATTAAAATAATAATAATAATAAAAAAAAAAGTACAATGCTAGAAAGTGAAAAATTATTTAAAAGAAGATGAGGATACCAAAATGATGAGAGGAAGAGGAAAGAAGAAGGATTTGGATATTTCTTATTTTGGGTATTTTTTAATAAAATAAATAAATAAATAAATAAATAATTAAATTTTATTGGTGATTTGATCCTTTCACAAAATCAAACCCCAACTTGTGCAAAGCATATATCTAAAGGCATTGTGTGGAAGTGGGGTATGAGAGAATATAATATATATATATTTTAAATATATTATTACGAATGTGAAGCTCGAGACTCCGAGATTTGGCTGATATTAAGATATTGCTCGGGTTTGGTCGATATAAAAATGAGAGTGAATTTTTGTCTGTCTCCTATTTCAATCTCCATCGTTACAAAAGTTTCTATTTATTTATTTTTAAATATATATTAAATTTAATAATATTTTATGAAGAAAAAATATAATATAATTTTCGAGATTATAACATGGGCAGAAATTATAATATAGAGCACCAACTCGAGTTAAATTGATATTTTTAATTTTATAATGGCTAAAATTTATTCGAGAATATGCTTTTTAATAATTTAAAATTAATTTTTCAGAATTTCAAATTTACTCTCCAACATATTTTTTAAAAGAAACATGTTTGTAAGAACACAAATCTATCTAGATATTGTCTGTTTTGGTCGGTTACGTTCTTAGCATCATGATTTTAAAACGCGTCTATTGAAGAGAGGTTTCCATACATTATAAGAAATGATTTGTTTTCTCTTCGACTGACATGATATCTCACAAAAACTAGCGTCTTGCTGGCACATGCTCAGTGTCGAATTCGGATACCATTTTTTGATTTGTGCTTGTCATTGTTGCGCAAAGCTTCAAGTTCTATATCACTGACCGAAAGAAGGTAACGACTTGTAGTCTCGAAGTATTGATTCCAATGCTAATTTGAGTTCCAGATTTGATTCGATAAGCAAAATATTTGCCTTTTTTCATTATTAATTTGGTGTCAACAAATGTACGTATATAAGATCGAACATTTAATCTTAGGGAGGATAATGCTATAGCGAATCTTCTTATCAAGATTTTGATGTTGAATTTGACGAAGATTTAAATAAAACGAAAATTTGAAGTGGGGTTCTAAATGATCCATTAATCAGCCTGAAGAGAAAGTACCGATCCAATCCAAAACCTTAAAATCAAACGGTCGATTCTTGGAATAGTCCGTATCTTTTTTTTAAATTCAAAGTATAAAGTATTATAATCTCTTTCGATGTTCGTCGGTACAATTTGATGGGATTTCTCCATGTTTGCCATTTTGCAACAAATTCAGGAAAGATCTTTCAGTTTCTTAGTCTTCGTGTTTGCGTTAGTCGTTTTTTTGCATCATCATCATGCATTATTGAATGTGAAAAAGGAACTACAGAGGATTTCTGTAGTACCCATGTGTCGTATGTGCTGGAGCTACTGAAATTATGTGCAAAAAGACGGCTGTTCTTGCAAGGTAAGGCTTGCCATGCCCGAATTCTGCTAATGGGGTTACAAGCAGAGACTTTAACGTCGAATATTCTCATCAACATGTACTCAAAATGTGGTTCAGTTGATGTTGCACGCCAAGTGTTCGATGAAATGCCCAGCCGAAGTTTGGTGTCGTGGAACACCATGATTGGATCGCTGACTCAAAATGGTGAGGAAAATGAGGCTCTTAGTCTTTTACTACAGATGCAAAGAGCAGGAACCCCTTTTAGTGAATTCACTATTTCGAGTGTCCTTTGCGCCTGTGCAGCTAAATGTGCTCTTTCTGAATGCCAGCTGCTTCATGCCTTTGCTATTAAGGCTGCAATGAATCTGAACGTTTTTGTTGCTACTGCGTTGCTTGATGTTTATGCAAAATGTGGTTTGATGAACGATGCGGCTCATGTTTTCGAGTCCATGTCTGAGAGGAGTGTTGTCACATGGAGTTCAATGGCGGCAGGGTACGTGCAAAATGCAATGTATGAGGAAGCTTTGGCGTTGTTTCGTAAAGCATGGGAAACTGGGTTGAAACATGACCAGTTTTTAATGTCATCTGTGATTTGTGCTTGTGCAGGATTGGCAGCCATGATTGAAGGGAATCAGGTGAATGCTTTGCTATCTAAATCTGGTTTTTGTTCAAATATCTTTGTTGCTTCATCTCTTATTGATATGTATGCAAAATGCGGTGGCATTGAAGAAGCTTATAAAGTATTTCGAGATGTCGAATATAGAAATGTTGTTTTGTGGAATGCTATGATATCTGGCTTGTCTCGACACGCTCGATCACTCGAGGTGATGATTTTATTTGAGAAAATGCAGCAAATTGGCTTGAATCCAAATGATGTTACTTTTGTTTCTGTGTTGTCTGCTTGTGGTCATATGGGTTTGGTTGAAAAGGGACAGAAATATTTTGATCTGATGATAAAAGAGTATCATTTGGCACCAAATGTCTTCCATTATTCTTGTATGGTAGACGCTCTTAGTCGAGCAGGGCGGACTTCTGATGCTTACGATTTGATCTGTAAAATGCCCTTTAGAGCCTCTGCTTCTATGTGGGGTTCCCTTTTGGCTTCTTGTAGAACTCATGGGAATCTTGAACTTGCTGAGGTTGCTGCTAAGAATCTGTTCGACATCGAACCACAAAATGCAGGGAACTATTTGTTGCTGTCGAACATGTATGCAGCGAACGGTAAGTGGGACGAAGTTGCCAAGGCGAGGAAGCTCCTTAAAGAAAGTGATGTGAAGAAAGAGAGGGGAAAGAGTTGGATTGAGATTAAGAACGAGGTTCACTCGTTTATGGTCGGAGAGCGGAATCATCCTAAGATAGCTGAAATTTACTCGAAATTGAATGAGTTAATAGAAGAGTTACAGAAGCTTGGTTACCAGGTGGAGACTCAGCATGATCTTCATCAAGTAGGAGAGAGTAGAAAACAAGAACTTTTGAGGCACCACAGCGAGAAGCTTGCTTTTACTATGGGATTATTGTTTTTACCTCCCAATGCACCTCTTAGGATCATGAAAAACCTTAGAATCTGTGGCGACTGCCACTCTTTTATGAAGCTTGCCTCGAAACTTGTTCGTCGGGATGTCGTAGTTAGGGACACCAACCGATTCCACCATTTTACGAATGGCCATTGTTCTTGTGGGGATTTTTGGTGATTAGTATGTAGTATCAGGACCATGGCATGATCTTGTTAAGATGTTAGTTTTCGGAGTCGAGTTCTTAGAGCACCGAACACTATGCTTCCGAGTTCCAACCGTGCGGCCAAAATTTCTTCTTATCATTCAAGACTAACCTTTAAACTACTGCAGGATTGTTGATCAGCTGGGCAGGTGGGGATAGCTCCAGAAAGAACTTTTCCAGGTAAGTTAATCACATTTTGTAGTTGATTAGTTAGTTCCGAAGATATCGTGATCTAAAGTAAGTCATGTTACGTCACGCCTCAAAGGTTGGGCAGGCGCGAAATTTATTATTTTGGGGGAGATGTTTTTAGTGATGCTTTCTTGTCATGATGTTTCTGATTCATAAGTTATGCAATTGATTTGTTGCTAGATTCTATTACTGTGAGATCTTACATCGGTTGGGGAGGAGAATGAAACATTCTTTATAAGGGTGTGAAAACCTCTCCCAAGTAGATGCATTTTAAAAACCTTGAGAGGAAGCCCAAAGAGAACAATATCTGCTAACGGTAGACTTGGACGGTTACAAATAGTATTAGAGCCAGACACTGCGATGTGCCAGCGAGGAGGCTAAGTCCCTTTGGGGGTGGACACGAGACAATGCGCAAGCAAGGACGCTGAGCTTCAAGTCTCTGCTATGACTACATTTTCCATAACTCACCTACGTCTTTGTTCACACTTGAGGAGTTGACCTATGTGGCTAAGTTAGGGAATGATTTTGATACAACTTGTTATGGATATCAAGCCTTTACGTATAACCACGATCATATGATATTGTTTACTTTTGCTATAAGGTTTCTTGACCCAAAAAGGTATCATACTAATGAAGCTACTGTCTCTCGCATATACACTCACTATCTTCTCTTCTCTTCTCTGACATTTAGCCTAGAAATGGACACATCCTTTTGCTATCTCTCACGACCCTATCACTAGAAAATTGAAAGGAGACCTTCACATCTGTTTCGAAGGGTGAGGATATCCTGACCGTACTATCATTATGCCTTTGTTTGACGATCCGAATAAGGAAGCGAGCATTCGCGTACACGTTAACTTTGATAAATATTAGTTTAGTGCAAGATTCGATGTGTACTTCCCATTTACATATAGGCACCCAATGCAAAATTTCTTATAATAATTCTTTAAAAAAAAAGAGAGATATATGACAATGGTTTAAATTTAAATAAGAATATGTCACCCTTATTATAATTTTATGAAATAAAAAGTTTAAACTAAAAATTGATAATCAAAACTTATTCTAAAAAGTTCAAATTTGAAATACTTATATTTCTTAATTCGATAAATTTAAAAGTAATTTAAAAATTATACACCTGTGTAATAAATATATATATATATCTCGTAGGTAAAGAAGGAAGAAAAAGACAACCAATCGTTAACCGTTAGATGGAAATCAGAGGTTCATGATTGACGTGGCAGAATCTGAATGGATGAATAGAAAAAACTGTATATAAAAAGCCACATAGAATCATTCCTCAGCTGGCAAGAAACCCTAAAGTATCCCTTCACTTATATCTCCCTCTTTCGCATTAGGGTTTCTCTTAAGTCGCGGCAGCAGCAGAACTTCGATCTCTTTCTGGTGCTCTTCCTTACTCTTTCGTCCTCCTTCCAGGTTAGTCCTTCTATCTCAGGTTTCTTATTTATCTTTTCGATCGGTTGTGTTATGCAATTGTTTGTTCATTTTTAATGTTGAGTTTTTCATTTATCGAGTTTGTTGGATTCATGCCTTCTGTTTTGGAGAATTGAATCGGTAGTGGATTGATTCTGCCTTTGCCTTTGTATAGTTATGGAAAATTTGATGAGAAGTTTTTTAATCTGTTTCGTGGTTGACGAGAAAGAGAAGTCTCTGTCGCCTTTTTAAGCTTTTGGGCTGTTTTTGAGGTTATATTTTGTTTGTGATGATCAATATCTCATAAACTTTTAGCTATCTGATGTTGAATGTTCAATTTTTCAAAATGTAGGTCAGAAGATATATATGTACGTATATAAACGTTCTCTGTTTTAGTTTATCTGTGTGATTCTCAAGTTTTTCTTCCAAGTGTAGGATTGAAGTATATTTGGGTTTTTACTTGAATGACGATACCGGGTGAATGTGTTGTTGTAATGTATGGAAAAACATCTTTTTTTTTATACGTGGATTACTGAGATATTTATATATGAGTTTCTGTAATACTGTTGTATGTCCTGATTGTGAAAGTAGTGTGATACAGGTTATCTTTTGTCTTTCTCAGGTAAAGTTTGGTAGAAGATGGGTCGCGTTCGCACCAAGACTGTGAAGAAATCTTCACGCCAGGTGATTGAGAGGTATTACTCTAAAATGACACTGGATTTCCACACAAACAAGAAGATCTTGGAAGAGGTTGCCATCATCCCCTCAAAAAGGCTACGAAACAAGATTGCTGGTTTCTCAACCCACTTGATGAAGAGAATTCAGAAGGGTCCAGTCAGGGGCATCTCATTGAAGTTGCAAGAAGAAGAGCGCGAACGCCGAATGGACTTCGTGCCAGACGAATCAGCCATTAAGATTAACGAAATCAAGGTTGATAAGGAGACACTTGATATGCTTGCTGCCTTTGGCATGTCAGACATTCCTGGACTTGTAGAGTTTGAGCCACAGGCTATGAATCTGCCCCAAGCTTTCGGTAGGGGTGCAGGTGGCCCAAGGAGATACTAAGGTAACTGAGACCACGCAACAGGTTTTGGGAATTAGAGTTTTTTGTTATTCAATATCGTAAGACCATGGACATTCTTGTTGCTAGTTATTTTCAGATTGGTCCCTGTTTTTGGTACTTGTCTTTTTAGTTTTGATTTTGAATGGATGATAATTTTGTTTCATGTATTGGAGATCTATGAAGTAAAAGTTTTTGCCATTAGTCAGATTTCACCACTGCCATTCTCGCTCATTTAGTGCAGCTTCCTGATGAATTTGCTCTTTTCTGAGTCATTTCTTTTGATAAATCATGTGGGGTGCTGTTTAATCCTCAGTTATGAGGTTTCGAATCCCTCTTTGATTTATCGTATGATCATGCAAAGCTACTACATTGTGGTATTTTGATTTTGATTTTGGTTTATGATTGAAACTTAAGATTTTGGTATTACGTTCTGTAGTTGAATTTTGGTTCGGGTTAAACTTCCGGGTTGCATCTATTATTAATGGGTCATTATATTTGATGCACATAGCCTTAAAATACAGAAGGGGACACCCACCTAATATAAGTTATGCGATTCTGCTCAACACAACACCAACGAAACTTTGGTAAAGAATTCCATTGCCGGTTGTGCCATTAGAGGCTATGGAGAAGTTGGAATGGGAAAGCTCTCATCTTAGGGTGGGCTTACTACTTGGATGCTTTCAGCAATTATTTGCTCTTCCCTTAGTTACCCAACATTTATCATGGGTGTGATAACTAGTACGCGGCCAGAGGCGTATCCTTCTCGATCCTCGCAATGTTCTAATGCTCACATCGGGTATGGACCGAACTATCTCACGACGTTCAAAACTCAGCTCATGTATCGCTTTAATGGATGAACAACCCAACTCTTGGAACATACTATAGCTCTAGGTGGTAAAGAGTCGACATTGAAGTGCCAAACCTTGCCGTTGATGTGAGCTCTTGAGAAAGATTAGCTTGTTATCTCTAAAGTAACTTTTATCCGTTGAGTGACGACTCTTCCACTGGCAACTGTGGCAAGTTAAAGGGTAATGGTATGCAATCAAGCAAGTAGCAATCAATCAGACTGTTAGTAGTGACACATTTTAATAGATTGAGTCCTATTTTTGCTAACCTAATAACAAGCTTATTAAAAAAAAAAAAAAAAAAAACATGTATTAGTTCGAAATAAAACTAAAAACTTGTAAAGTATATTAAAATTGAATATAATCATATTTTTATTCACGTCAAATAATAAAGATGCGTATATTGTATATCATCATATCGACTTTCAATTACGATGTCTATTATTTTTCCATATTCAAAACATCAATAAATGTATTCTATAATAAGATACACACGAGGTTTACGATATGTTTTGCATGAAAAGTATATTAATAGTTATTTGAATTTATACTCTTTCAATGAAGTATACTAAGTTTGGTTCACTTTTGTATTATATTTATTTGGCACGAGAAATATGGCCATAAATATAAAGGGAACATTAATGCTTACAAGAAGGAAAATAGTGGCATTCCCTTTACTTGTTTTTTGTTGGTGAAATCAGAAATTTCTGAATCCCAATTTGGGGTTTTCGGCGGAACGGGTGTCTCGCGCCAATCTCATCTCCGTCCATTTTGCTCATCAAATGATCTTCAATCGCTACATCTTGAAGATATGTTCGAGAAAACGAGAATGGAAGTGGAGAAAGGGAAGAAAAGGAAGATTCGGGTTGTCTTTAATTCCGATTTCCGCAAAAGGATTGGCGATTTTTCTACCAATAATATGACTATTAGAGTTTTGGATCATCGGCATTTATGGATTCTCGATGGCGGTCAAGTTGGCAAGGAGGGGAGGGTGCTGGTTAATCGGCGATCGGTTGATCGAGTCTTGCAGAGGATTGGGAAGGTACTGCCCCTTTAAATCATTGTTTCTTTTTATCATGAGTTGATATGAACCAAAAAAACATCAATTATACAATATACTTCAATGAAGATGTGAAGAAAAGGGTGTCAAAATTATCAAAAAATGTTTCAATCGAAGAAGAATGAAGTTTGATTGTTATAAATTTTGGGTGGGTTACAATTTAGAGTAATTTAGAGTTTTTAGAACTTTTTATTTTACAATTACATCATGGTTAATTATGACTATTAAGTATGAATGTTACCCCTTTAGTAGTTTCATTTTGAGGCTATATAAAGTCATGTATGTTGTATTGGTAAGAGACTTGGAAAATATATAGTAAAAGAACACATTTGTGCTTTCTTTAGCCAATGGCTAAGTTTATTTACAATTCTACTTAGTTTAGGTTGCATGTAAAATCATTCAAGCTCGACATGATCAATCTCGCTTGTGGAGTGATTCGAATCTCAAACAAGTGTTTGAGATATTTGAACAACAAGAATCATTCAAGCTAGACATGATCGATCTTGCTTGTGGAGTGATTCGAATCTCAAACAATGTTCTTGCCTTGAGATATTCGATCAACAAGGTAATCCGAATTTTATTCCCCTTGTAGTGGTTTCTTATCTTATCAACGGTAGTGTTTAGATTGTGGAGTTCTGTTTTGATATTGCTGAACTTGCTGGTGAGAGACATGAACTTAAGAAATCATGGGGGAAGGATTATATTTAAAATTGGACTACTGGATTCATGGTTCATATTGGATTAAAGCTTTGATTACTGGCATTTAGTGAGATATCATTGCTGGTTTTATTGTTCATGAGAGCTGCTAGAATATTAGAGACCCACCTTTTAGATTTTTAACTTTGGTTGTAGCTCCTAGGGAAGGCTAAGAGGTGGATACCCCGGGTCTTTGATTGTGTAATCTTTGTTGGAAACTGATATGAATGTTTAAATTTCCTGCTGGGATATCTAAAAGCTAGAAAGAAAGATATAATGCAAGTTCTGCATGTGCATAAGAAAGTTAAAGATCAATAAATTTGATTCGATACCAATGAAATAGGATCTTTCATCGGATTTTTGAGGGTAAAATGCTGTATGTCAATGTGAAATAATATCGAACTTTTGTTTCCAATTGATATCGTTCTTCGATGAAGACGTGTGAGGAAGATATTGTAATGTCTTGAGTATCATTACTGGTGTTAGTACAGAGAGTAAGCACAAGAAGTAAATAAAGGCTTGAAACAATTTATGTAGAAGGTGAATTAATAATGTTCAAGATTATTTAACCTTCATTCGAGTTGACTCTTGTCAAGTCATATGTAATGGAGATATAAGGGATGGTGCTTATGATCCTTAGTCATAGACATTTTATAATTATTTAAGGGATTCTAGATAAACAAGTTATATACAGCTTCTACCATGTGACTTTCATCCTTTTCATATTCAGCGCATCTTTCACTTAATGATACCACTGCTTAAGAGTCGAGAAACTTCAAGTTATAGAATCCTCGAGTATTGAAGTTAGTTGCTGCTGGGTTCACTGTTTAGGTAAAATTTATTATTGTGGGATTCAGTTTTAAAGCCTTGTTCAAAAACAAATGTAAAGTATAAACTTGATATTGAATACCATCACTGTTTTCGTGCTAACATACTTGTGATTCATAGAGGATATCAGGACGCCTGGGTGATTGAGTAATAGAATGACCCAGCTAACGATTAGTTTCCAAATTTTGATGTTTCATATGGATTATATTCATCACCCAGCTAGTACTTTGTTTTCCTTGAATAAGAAAATATAGAACTTGTCCCTTCATGATTATTTTTTGGTATGAAGGATAGTATGGAGTATTTGATTTGTATTATCAGAACTTTTACTGATTACCCACCATAATGATTGGAAGTTGGATTATGAACCAGGTTAATATTTATTCTAAAATAAAGTTATTCAGGCTAATTACCGGATGAACGAAGATCTAAATTTGGTTACTCTTACACTTGTAACTTTAATCGACTTTGGGCATTTGATCTGTTTAGGTTTGAGTTTGAAACCATGGAATCAATTATGGGATGGCCTAGTAGTAACTGCAACAGGTTACAGAAGTTAAGAACTTTGGGGACATAGGTGCAACCTTATGGCGATCTTCCTAGGATGTTAAAAGTTCTTTGAGTTTCCTGATAGCTACTTATTGTAGTGTAGATGCTTATCTCCCAAGTCCTTAGCCTAGGAAATTTATCCCTTCTAAGTGGTTGTTCTAAACTAGTTTAAGTTTATATTAGTTCTTAATGCTTCCTTGTGGGGTAATGCTAAAAACAATCATGGCGGGTAATATTTAGGAAATACGAACGGGATTTTCTGTAACCTCTTAGAACATATGGATGTCTTCATTTTTGTAGTGGCCATGATCGTTGATCCTCTTATTGTTATCACTGCCAAGTTTTTTAATCAGTTTCTATTCATTCTTGGTGATTTGTTATTGTTTGTTTTGTTTTTAAAGAATTGAACCAGGGATTATGCCTCTGTTATTATGCCTCTGTTATTATGCAGCTGAAAAGGAAAAACCTAGATGAAGAACTACTCTTCTTGGTAATAATCTAATCTCTACTGTTTTGTTCTTCAAGAGGTTAAGTAGCATTTACCACTTGAGGACAAATCTATTAATTGTTTTCTACCAAACAATAATGGCACCAGATTGGATCCTATATTTGCACCAAAGGAATCACTTCTTTTTTGTATATAATTCAAATGGCGCAACGGTTACTAAAATATTCATGCCATTAACCTTGAGGATTTCATTGAAGTACTAAATTACAGAGTTTGTTGAAACACTTTCCTTAAAATGGCTTTTTTATACCTCTACTTTCTTTCATCAGTCTTCTCCTCCCTTGGGTTTTACCTTGAATATCTAACTACTATACTGTAATTGTTGGTCAATAAATTCCCAAGAATCATATATTTGGCAACATGACTTTTAGTTGGACCATTTTAAACTCCTATCGATAAATAGTTTAATTTCGATTTAGTATTTTTTTTGTTTGTTTGCATTTGATACCCATTGAATTAGAAGCAAACTAGTAAATAGAACTCTCGATTGTTTATGCTTACTACAACTTGTGATCTCTCACTATCTTGTTCAAGTTGTGGATATTAATTGAACCTTAATGCCCTTTCCAGAACTTTAGACACTACGAAGCCTTTGTTTAATATTGTGCATTGAAATTTAGTATCTACACCCCTTTATTGCTGTGTGTCATAATTATGCAATTGTGCACTATGTGTAACAACCTAAGCCTATCGCTAGTAGATATTGTCCGTTTTAGCCTGTTATGTATCGTCGTCAGCCTCACGGTTTTTACGTCTGATAGGGAGAGGTTTCCACGCCCTTGTAAGGAATGCTTCGTTCCCCTCTCCAACCAATGTGGGATCTCACACTATGCATACAAATTCTTGGTAAGGAAATTTCCTTCTCAAGTGGAACAAGTAAATGCTCTTGCTAATCTTTTGAAATACATACCATATCATATAGACTGTAGAGTTGTTTCTTCTCATCATATTGGCATCATTGTGATTGTTTCTATGCCTTTTCTTTTACTATTGAGTATTTAAGTTTTATATAGGCAACATCTATATTACGTATTGCTATCATTGTTTTGAAATTTAATTTATTGTTTTAGCGCTTTCTTTTTTAGCATCTCGGCTTCAAGAAAAACTTAAATGATAGCTTCTTTTCTTGGTAATCAATTTCGTCTGTTTAGGAATGCTCTTAAAGAGGCTAATTTCCATCTACTTGTACAACTCAAGAGTCTTTAATTTAAGTAATTAAAATCACCCTAGTGGTAATGGTAACAGATATTCCAACTTTTGCATTTTAGAAATTGCTATTATCACTTTATTTTCCAACATTGTAACGGTTACTAAATATCGACGTGACTATCCACGCTGGTTAGCATTTTATAATTAATTGTGCAGACTTTGTTTAACACTTACCTAAGGACAGCTTAACCGTGTGATTTCCTTGCGGTTCACTTTCGTCTCCATCATTTAAGAACTTGACAAATTTTCCAAAAAGGATACTCTACTTGCTTTTATTTATTTTTACGAAACCATATATGTGGCATACAGATTGCATCCATGTATGCTTGTACCGATATGCGTCTATGCATTAATTTTACAATTATTTTTTCTGTTTTTATTTTTGAAGTTGCACAATCATGCATTTGAAATTGATTCAATTAATTAATCACTAGATGAGACCTTACCTGATGAATCAGTTCACTGAAAAACCTCACTCCTTTTGTATAAATGGAGGGAATTTGTAGAAACCATTTCTCACATCTCTTATTTCTGGTATGGGCTCAAAACCTCAGGAAACCACTCAATATCTAGAGAGTTCTGGTGATGCAAAGGATTGTGCTGGTGGTGGTGACCTAGAGAGCCTCTGTAGCCCTGAGGAGTTCTCCTCGAGCGTCGATCAACTCAATCAAAACTTTAACAAATCTCTCGTTCTTAAAAGTTCGTCCTCTCGTTCATCCCCAATTGAAGTAAAATATAGTTCTAAGCTGAGTATGAAGCAATCAGAAGTTACTGATAAGGTATAATTCTTCTCCCAACTTGTAAATATCATAATCTGTGTTGGATTTTTTCCTTAAATGGTTTTGGCAGTCTTGTTTTGATCTTGTTATTTTCCCTTACCAGGAAGATTATGATCTCTCTCTCCTTTCCTCAAATGAATATTTTAGCCTATTAAGTAAAAATGTACCCAAAATCTACTCATATTTAGGTGAATCCTAATATATTTCCTATTTCTTGTGTGGTGATTCTGGAAAAATTTCTAAAAGAAGGAAACTAAAAGAAGGTATGCTGCGGGAATGGGAACGACTGGTAATGAAAATTATGCATATTTGGATCTCAAACTGTCGCCTCCAGGGGTCTACTTAAGGGGTAAATCCTCGAATGAATCGAAATCGTCATCCCCAAAATCTCAAGACTCATGCGTATCTGCGGAGGTCGAGTCAAATGTAAACTTGGAGAATAACCTTGAAGTTGAAGGTTCGCCGTTAATTGTGATGGGATGTACTTTTTGCCTGCTTTATGTGATGGTGACAGATGATGATCCCAGATGCCCTATATGCAAAAATTCTGGCTTGCTCGACATTTTCCGTGGAAATCAGCCGAAGAGATCGAGAAAAAACTAGCTTCCTTTCAAGGAGTGTGGAGAGTATGCTCTTGAACTGATGCACCCTCTGCCTTTCTTTTCTTAGTGTCTGTCTTCCTTGTTGCTGCTGCTGCTGGTGCATGCACTTGGGGAGTAAGCATAGCATCTTCAATAAAGAACATGGTTTATGTTTCTTTTTTGCTCTTTAGTTTGGCTGTCTTTGCCCTTGTTTTGAGAAGGCCATTTCATAAGGATAAGGTCTTCAAACAGGTCTTTATATAACATATTAAGTTACTGTGTCTCTGTTCTACAATTTTTCTTGTTCTTTTTCCTTTTTCTCTCCATTACTGTGCATGTATCGGAGGTCGGGAGGTCGGTATGGCAGGGGACGACAAATCCCTTTTCCCCGACTTTAAATCCCGGGGGCTCCGATCCAGAAATCGCCATAGGAACTCGTATTCAGCGGTTTGAGTTGGTGAGTTTATTGAGGCTTTCTGGGCCTTCAACTTTTTACCATATTTTGCTGCTTTCTTGCACCAAATAATGCCTTGTTTTAGGGAATTCTACTTTTCAATTTCTGGTTTTTCTTTCTTTATTTTCCTTTCAAGGGATATATATGATTACTGAAAGAGGCCAGTAATGTGGGCAGTTTCTTGCAGGAGTTATCATCATATTACATTAACCCTATGTTTTACTGCATTATTACAACTTAAAATTGGTTATTAATTATTCTAATTTAGTATTCAATATTTATAAAAATACTTAATTATAGGGTTGAATACTTTGTTTTTAAATTATGTATATTTTTCCTGAATTTGTGATTCCGTATTGTCTATATGTATCAGTGGGCTTTTTGGGCTGCCCCGTGGACATACGGGCTTAATCTTTATGGGCCTCTTATTTATTCAAAGATGGCCCGATTGGCCCAACTATGTAGGAGTGGACTACTTGGGCTGCCCGGTGGACATACAGGCTTAATCTTTATGGGCTTTCTATTTATTAAAAAATGGGCCGTTTGGCTCATTTGTGTAACAGTGGACTACTTGGGCTGCCCGGTGGATATACGCGCTTAATCGTTTTGGGCTTCCTACTTTATTCAAACATGGGCCTTGGCCCATTTGTGTAACAGTAGACTATTTGGGCTGCCCGGTGGACATACGGGCTTAATCGTTATAGGCTTCCTATTTTATTCAAATATGGGCCGCTTGGCCCATTTATGTAACAGCGGAGTACTTGGGCTGCCCGGTGGGCATACGGGCTTAATCGTTATGGGCTTCCTATTTAGTTTCTAAAATTTACTATGTTTCTAAATTTTTTATATTACTTATAATAAGTCCTTTTCATTAAAATTATTACCTAAATATTAAGGTAAGTAATGATATGATTGAAGAGAATAGATAAGCTAAGCAAAATTTGAGAGTGTGATCGTATAAGTATTGTATGACCTTTATCTTTTATTATCGTATTTCATTTTCTTACTTCAATTGACCGAGCTCTTTTGCATTTAAGGATATAAAATTTTAAAGTCGGAAATTTTTTATTTCATTTTTCTCTCGATTCTCTATCTTTTTACAAGTAGTTCATGATACAGCTTCTATAAATTTTCGTAGAAAAGCAATACTAGGTTACAACCGTCACTATCCTCAAAATTATAATTATTTTTTTTTTTCATTTAAAAAAAAAAAAAAAAAAAAACCCATATTTAAGAAAATTAAAATGGAAGAATAATATAGTTGTCAAAATCAACCGCCTCCAAATTGAAACAAAGAAAAGAGGCTTAAAGAATAAAGCCAACTTTATGGGATGCATGAAAGAGATGGAGAAGAGAATGTTTTATTTTCTTTTTTAATTAAATTAAATTTATTAATATTTTTTAAAATATCTGTCTTTTTCATTTGATTTTTATTGTGATCTATATTTTCCAATAAATCCTAAAAGAAACATTAAAAATATTATTCCTCTTAAAAAAAAAAAACAGTAAAAATTAGAAAGAAAAGAAAAGATGAGGCAAACTGGACACATAGTCCTTCTCTCTTTTCACTTTAAGTCCTTTAACTCTTTTATTATTGCCTCTATGCCCCCCTCCCCTTTTTCTTTATTTTTTCAACCTTTTTCTTTTTTATCTTTCCAATTTTCACCCCAAACCTTGTTTTTTTCCCCCCTTTTTTTATCTTATTCTTAACAAAAGTTTAAGACCCCTACTTTTAAATTTTAAATTTTAAAATTTTTATTTTTATTTTTTATGTGAGAGAAACAAAGTTAGCTTATCACATGGTAACCACCTTTTATTTATTTATTTTATTTTATTTATTTTATTTTATTTATTTTTTCATATATTATTAAAAGCCAACAAATTTCCCTCACTAACAAGAAAGGTACCAACATACTCCCCTTATATACTCAACAAGTTTCTTACATCCAAGAAGAAAAGAAAGAGTGTAGTTGCAAACATGAGAGCTGGAATTTGCACTATACAACTCCAAGCTCTTAGCGTCGAGGCTGAGGCGACCGTGAAGCAAGCCGTTGGCCTTGCACGACGTCGAGGCCACGCCCATGTCACCCCTCTCCATGTTGCTAGCGCCATGCTCGTTTCCTCCTCTGGCCTCCTTCGTAGAGCTTGTCTTCATTGCCATTCTCATCCTCTCCAATGCAAAGCTCTCGAGCTTTGCTTCAACGTTGCTCTCAACCGTCTCCCGACATCGACACCGAACCCACTCTTTGGCCCACAATATCCAAATCCTTGCCTTTCCAATGCCTTGGTTGCTGCTTTCAAACGAGCGCAAGCACAACAACGCCGCGGCTCTATCGAAAACCAACAACAACAACCGATTTTAGCTTTGAAGATCGAGTTGGAGCAACTCATAATCTCGATCTTGGATGACCCAAGTGTTAGTAGAGTCATGAGAGAAGCTGGTTTCTCTAGTATACAAGTCAAAAACAACGTTGAAAAAGCTCTTTCCTTGGAGGTTAGTGACTCAAAAACTCATGTTATTATTCATTATTCTCTATTATAACACAAACCCATGAAGATTTTCTTGTTCTTTACAGGAATACAATAATGAAAGACACTACTTTTGTGAGAAAAATTGGAACTTGATACCCATAAACACTTCAACCCCTCCAAATCTCGCCATAAACACCTCTAAATCAATACCCTTTACCCAATTTAGTGTCAATGCCACCCCCAATCACGAAAAAGAGATATCAAACGTCTTAGAACAGATATCAATCAGAATCAGCCATGCCAGGAGAATCATCAACACAGTGATCATAGGCGAGAGTTTGGGCATAGCTGAAGCAATGATAAGAGGAGCAATGGAGAAATTTGAGAAAGGGGAAGTCCCAGAAGAGCTAAAAGACGTAGAATTCTTAAGCCTTCCTCTGTTTTCATTGAGGAACCTTTCAAAGGAGGAGATAGAACAGAAGGTTTTGGAGCTGAAATGCATCGTTAAAAGCTGTATGGGCAAAAGGGTTATCTTTTATTTGGGAGATCTCAAATGGGTCGCAGAGTTTTGGTCAAATTATGAACAGAGAAGCCATTACAGCCCTGTGGAGCAGCTGATAATGGAGCTTAAAACACTGATATTCCATGGAAATAATGAAGGATTTGGAAGATTTTGGGTTATGGGTATTGCCACTTTTCAAATATATATGAAATGTAAAGCTGGTCGGCCTTCTTTGGAGTCGCTTTGGTCACTTCAGCCTCTTGCTGTTCCTGCTGGCAGTTTGAGTTTAAGTCTAAGCTTTGAAAGGTAACAAAAAAAACATGTTTTTTTTCAAAAGAAACAGAGATTATTTGCATTAAATCTCATACTTTTTTTTTACTGTTTTTTCAGCCAAGAATGTAATTTTCCAACAATTTTCCAACCGTTCGATGCAAGAAAAAGTGACGTAACCACGGACGAACAGGTTAGTTGTAAAAATTAATGAAAATTGAACTTCCGATCCCATTCCTGTTTCGTTTTTGGCTTTTTTAATGTTTTTTTTTTTTTTTTTTTTTTTGTCGG